TATAGACAAAAATTTTGTTTTTATTTTACCACGATCGTGGAGTCGACAGAATCTGAACGAAAACCAGTCTAAATGAGAGTTCAGGTTCTCACCTTTCTAACGAAGACAAGATCATTCCTGGGAAATGTTTAGTTTCTGAGATATGACGGCTCAAAGTTGGTCATACGCTTTTGCGCAATGTGAATGAGTCTTATCACTGAATCATTCGCGATCTAGGGGTTCCTTACGTTCAATTTACGTGGAAATAACCACACAGAGCAGTAAGGTGTCCAGCAAGAGCCGTTTTTTCACCTTCGGCTGCCGATGTACGACGTTGTCATTTTTTGAAGTGAAAACTCTTAAAAATGCATAACTCCGCTGCATTTCAACTGATTTCAATGAAGTTTTCTTTTAAATGTTCCTCCTAGATAGAACTTTCTAGAAGTATTCAGATTTTGGAATTTTATTTACATACTTACTTTTTTACGTAAGAAGGTCTCTATTTCCCCCAATTTTTTTTTAACATTCAAACTTGATCGGAACATCACCATCGCTTAATGTATAATGCAAAAATCTTGGTAAAATAGCGACACCACCTCTTGTACAATGAGGGCATCGCATTCAATATTTGTACTTGTAAGAATAGTGATTAAATGAAACCCGTTTTTAAAAGTTCTTCATTTTGAATTCTGCCATTTCAAACCCTCCCACAACCCCCAGAAAAAAAAAAGCAACACTATTTTTTGTATGAAAAATCTCTGCAAAGAACCATATAAACAACCGCAGTGCCTCCATAAGGTAAATAAAATTCCAAAATCTAAATACTTCTAGAAAGCTCTATCTAAGAGGAACATTTAAAAGAAAAGTTCATTGAAATCAGTTGAAATGCAGCGGAGTTATGCATTTTTAAGAGTTTTCACTTCAAAAAATGACAACGTCGCACATCGGCAGCCGAAGGTGAAAAAACGGCTCTTGTTGGACACCTTACTGCTCTGTGTGGTTATTTCCACGTAAATTGAACGTAAGGAACCCCTAGATCGAGAATGATTCAGTGATAAGACTCATTCACATTGCGCAAAAGCGTATGACCAACTTTGAGCCGTCATATCTCAGAAACTAAACATTTCCCCGGAATGATCTTGTCCTCGTTAGGAAGGTGAGAACCTGAACTCTCATTTAGACTGGTTTTCGTTCAGATTCTGTCGACTCCACGATCGTGGTAAAATAAAAACAAAATTTTTGTCTATATCAAAAACTGCTAAAACCGCGCAAGTGCCCCTCAAAGCCAAGTAAACCAAGAAAACTACACACCAATAGATAGCTCTACTTAAGAGGAACATTTTAAAAAAAAGTTCATTGAAATCGGTTGAGATGCAGCAGAGACATGAATTTTTAAAGGTTTCCACTTTAAAAAATGGCAACGTCGCAACCCGGCGCTTCTAAGCAAAACGGTGACCGGTTTTGGGCGTCTCGAAAGATACTGTATCACCCCATGTGTTCAAAATTCGCAAATGCCTTGAGGCATTTTTGGCCGTTTTTTCACACCCCTCTTTGAAAACTTTACAATTTGTTGATAGGTAAACCGATCAACTCAATCTCATCAACCAATCAACTCATCAACCGATCAACAATCAAACTCGGGCAACTTTCGCTGCCCGAGTTCGGTCGGCTTTTCGGCCCAATTTTCGCCTCGGGAGGGGAGGTATATTTTGAGCTGCATCTTAGTAGACCTTTCAAGAAGCAGCCTGAGTCATTTGCAAAAAAGTTCTCTAAAACATAATAGAAGCATCGGTTTGACCCGACCCGCGCAAGCCAGTTACGCTGCTCGAGTTCGGTCGCCCCCCCCCCCCTCCCTCCCTCCCGCCCGGGGGTATATTCTGAGCTGCATCTTAGTCGACCTTTCAAGATGCAGTCGTAATCATTTGCATAAAAAATTCTCCAAAACATGGCGAAAGAATCGGTTTAATGCGGCTCGCCGACTCTGAAATCGGTGGCGTGAACACCCCCCCCCCTTCCCCATAAGGCAAAATTGTCAGTTTTTGAGTTCGGATGGTCTCTAGCCTATTCAGAGGATACAAAAGACTCAAGAAACCATCAAAGAATCTCATAGGCGACCGATAAACCCGGGTGTAAAAACTGCCAATTATACGCCGAATTGGCAACTTTGACCCCCAAAATGGGGGGTAAAACTTCGAGATAGGGAGAAATGCCCATTGACACTTTTGATCAGTAGGTTAAGACCTACAACATATCAAAACGCCAGCCGATTTAACCGGGCCCACTTTTGCCATAAGACCGGTCCGTCGTCCTTTGGCATCTCCGTTTTTTATCGGCGGATTGGTCTGAAACTCAGAATCCTCAGGTTTTTCGGGACGAGAAAAACGACTCAGGCATCAGATTTCCAGAAAAGTCAGTTCTTTTCAAAATGGCGGCTTAGAGCGGGAAGTGGATATTTAGGCTGCTTATCGTTCGATTTGTATCAGACTTGGGGTATCCGGGGGTATTTCGGCACGAGAAGAACGAATCTTTCATGGGATTTTTGAAATTTCGAAAAACTTTAAAATGGCGGCGAAAAAATGACGGGAAAGCCATATCACCGGCCATAACACCGATTTTTCCGCTGTATTTCCAAGATCTAATGAAAGACTCATTTTTTTCGAGCCAAAAACCACCAGAATATTGACTTTTGTGCAAATCCATTGGTAAACAGTCGTGATAGGGATTTTCCGTCATTATTTCGCCGCCATTTTAAAGTTTTTCAAAATTTCAAAAATCAAATGAAAGTTGTTCGTTCTTCTCGTGCCGAAATACCCTCGGATACCAAGTCTCATACGAATCTAACGATAAGCAGCCTAAATATCCACTTCCTGCTCTAAGCCACCATTTTAACCGCCACCGTTTTGAAAAGGACTAACTTTTCTGGAAAACTGATGCCAGAGTCATGTTTCTCGTCCCGCAAAACCTGAGGAGTCTGAATTTCAGACCAATCCGCCGATAAAAAACGGAGATGCCAAATTTCCACCATTTTGTCAAAAATGCACATTTTGACCTGCGGTTTGCGCCCAAAAATTTTCTTATTATCTTTCGAATGAGGTATCACAAAAGGGGGGTTGCCATTTGAAAAAAAATTTAACCCCCGCCCCCCTTTGGGGAACCGGCCCCCAAAACTTTGGGGAGACCAAAAAGTTGCTACTTTAGACCGAGGAACATTGCCAAAGTTTCTAACTTCTATCTCAATTAGGAAACAAGTTACAGGGGTGGTAGATGACTTTTGGATAACCCTGTATAGATGTTCAACATTATTGTTGTCATTCACAAATTATGTCAGATAGTGCATGTATCTCAGAGTCAATTTGATCAATTCCTCCTCAATATCCTGATAGACAGAGTAAACAGCTTTGATTCAGTACCTGATAATACCAGCTTTGATAATAGTTACTAGCACACTGTCTGGTCATGTTCCACTGGTTTGATTGTAGATTTAGCAGAATGATAGTATTGGCAAATTAGTCAAAGTGAACAATATATCTCACCCAATAAGAGAGATAAAGCACAACTCATGAGCTACTTCAGACCAAAAAATACCCTCTGGTACCAAGTTTCACGAAAATCGATTTGGTAGGAGCTGAGATAGCATTTTAGGACACGTTCCCCATCTTCAGTAGAAAAATATATAGTGCTCATATGATATTATTTAAGCGCTGATTCAAAAGTACAGCACTTACTAAAGGTAAATGTATGGATAAGAAGAATTCATTTGATAAAAATTTCAAAACCCCAAGTTTCACGTATATCCATGGAACAGGAGCCGAGATAGCATTTTGGGCCGTATCTGCCATCTTGGATTTGCGAAATTTGGAAATTTGACTAATAATTCGAGTTTAGAGAGAGATTAAGCACAACACATGCGCTACTTGAGACAGCAGTACCAAAAAATACCCCCTGTTACCGAGTTACACGGAAATCGATTTAATAGGAGCTGACATTGCATTTCAGGACACATTCGCCATCCACAGTAGAGAAATAGATAGTATTTATTTAATAATATTGAGGTGCTGATTCAAGAGTACATCACGTACTATGGGTAAATATACAGATAAGAGGAATTTATTTCATGACAGTTTCGAAATTCCAAGTTTCACGAATATCCATGGAGCACGAGCCAAGGTAGCATGTTAGGTCACATCCGCCATCTCAGGTCTGCAAGGTCTGACAAATTGACTAAAAATTCGAGTTTTCGTCGAAAAAACCTCCTGAAACCACGTTTCAAGAAAATCGATGGAACAGGAGCCGAGATAGCATTTGAGGCCGCGTCAGTCATCTTGGATTTGCAAATTTTGAAAATTTGACTAAAAATTTGAATTTTTTGTTTACTAAGGAGCTGTATCCCCTGGCCGCTACGCGACGCAACCGCCGGGGCGTTTCGCGCCCCCACAGGCTGTATCGTGGCCAGCAAAATCGTCGAAATAGCCCGTTGGCGAGTAGTAAGAAAATAATTTTAATTGAATGACAAAACAATGTTTCGAAGAAAAATTTCCCACCAAAGAATATTCGTAATGCCTTTCTCTTTACTCTGTATTTTGATTCCTTTTTTGGGAAGTCGACCTTGACAGGGCCACATATAGCTGTCCATGACTAAACAATGGCCTCTGAAAGTAAAGACTCATTGTATTAACACTCTGACCTTTAAACTCCCCTTCCTCACTCCTGCCCATCGACTGTCTTACTCCTCTTCCTCACCTCGTCCATCAAGCGTCTTGATAATTATTTTATTAGAATAGAGGATAATTATCTGTAAATACGCAGTTGCACGAAAATCGATGGAACAGGAGCCAAAATAGCATTTCTGGCCACGTCCATCATCTTGGATTTGCGAATTTTGAAAATTTGATTAAAAATTCGAGTTTCTGTGTGATGTCCTGTGGGTACTATGTTTTGTAGGTCAAACGTCAAGTCACCTGACTAAGAAACAGGATTATGTTAACATAACATGAATAACTAACTGAAATGTGATATTTTACCATGACTGCTGATGGATCATGTAGTACTGAGGGGGCCTGATCGCTCCCATACTGAAGCAGATATCATCGTAGTTTGTGAACTGTATTGGCTCATTTTTTGGTGTATTTACAATGAAAGTGCCTGTAACAAGATTTTGAAAAAAAAATTACCACTTCAAAAATTGCAAAAACTTTACAACCAACACCTGACTTTATTGTGTAAACCTCACACACAGCTTGTTAAGCTGACCTTAGAGGCATCAAATCGTGCTAAATATTGTTGCCCAAAAGGAAGTTGGAGACCCTGATGTAATGAAAAAAGTAATTAAGGGTGATCAGTAGGAAAAATTTAGTCTTTCTGGCATCCTTCTTGGTGAGTATTATCTCTAAAATAAGGCAAGGAACCAACTGCGAACACCTGCTATAAAGCTCTGCAGCTGTTATCAACACTCCTTGAAGTCAAAGAAGATTCTGGAAAGTTCTGGAAAGGATGTGTTAATTATAATTTGTAATTTCCTGCCGTACACGCAGCCAGAGTTAATGACAGAGGAACGTCCTTACATAAGCTGAAGACCAATGAAACTAAATCTAATAAAAACTACAGTCTTATCGCCTGTTTGCCTACAAAAGAAAAAAAAAGGGTAATGATCGGTCTTATCCATTGTTTACCTACAAAAAATAAAGTGATGATCCCAGTGCTCTGCAAACAGAGACTGCATATGATATGCTTTGATAGCTCATAAAGGCACGTATCACGTCAAGTGTCGAGAGGCCGGATCGATTCATCGCTGACACTGGCTTCAAATCTGAATGGGATTCCCCTTTCTTTTGTTCTGCGATCAGAAATCAGGTAGACGGATGCGATGGGCGAGCAGTGCGGTTAGAATCTTGACATCTGAGGGATCGAGCCGGGCGTGATCATTAGATCCTGAGTTAAATACCATTGCCCGGCAATGATATACAAATCCATACGGTCGATAGCATTCTCCGATGTTCGCTAGTGAAATCCAGTCTTTGGAGTTAACTATAGCCGGCCCCGGCAAGTTCGCTCAACATATCCGATATTTGAGTTTGCCGCGTAAATCAGACTACCGCTACCTCGCTGCGCGGCGCTTCCATTCCTACTGCGTTATCTATTCTAACTATTATTATAATCCTACTATTTTTCTCCTCCTTCTTCTTCTTCTTCTTCTTCTTCTTCTTCCTCCTTCTCCTCTTCTTCTCAAATGATCTTCGCATCGAGAAACTCGTAAATTTTAAACAGACAATTTCAAGAAAAATTGTTTAAAAGTAGTTCTAAAGCCCTTTTTAGTGTGCAATTTGGAAACATTATATCAATAATTAAAATTACATCAGTAAAGAAATTGAAACATTTGACTTCACTGTAACTTTTTACTTAATCTGGTTTTAACCAGAATTGAAAGAATTGAAAGAAAAAAATCATAATGATGCTTCAACCACGAGGCTTCTTTTTCAGAGATCTATTATGTAAAAGTCCTGAAGCATTTTTCCTTTAAAAATATACCAAGTGTTATTTTAATTAATACTTCTTGACGAATTTTTTAAGAGTTTGTGAAAAGTGCTTCACGTATTCGCTTTTACTAGGTCAAATCATCTTCATAGTGTTGTTTATACTTTTGATGGTAGAAGTGTAGAACCCTCCTCTCTACCCTGACCGCATTTCGGAATTATTGGTTTTAATTTATTGGGAGGAAAAGTCTCATCGATATTTCCTGCGAAAAATTTGACAGAGCCTAGGATATTAAAAAAATTCTTGTTTTAGAAAAGATACCGGTAGGTTTGCGTTTCTTCTTTCTCCGGACATATAGATTCACATACATGTGAAACAAAACTTTCATTGCGAACACAGAAATTGAAAGTTTTCTTTTACAATGAAGTGCGCGGAGGAATAAAACCTCACACCTCCATCACTTAATCACCTTTCGTGTTTTTGGTTTCCTTCTTGCCAATTCTCAATACGCTCCTTGTCACTGTTACCTCGCGTCATTTTCGGGTTATTCCCCCGGCCTAATTATACCCACAATAATAGTACTACTCCCTTTAATATATTAAGTACCATCCCCGAGATTTCAGCCACTTCCGAAAATGATGATTCATTGGAGCCTTTGAGTTAATAGATCACTATATTGCTTTTCAGTACCTACAGATGCGGTGATTAATGTGTGTCAACGTGATGGGCCGTTGATAGCAAAGAGGGTAGTAAGTGCCAAAATGAAGTTTTGGTAAAACGGGCTCAGAGGCATGTGACCGGAAAATTTTATTACAGAAGCCATTCTTTCTCAAATTATCACGAATCGTCCGAGAGATTCCTAGAGATCGTTTGGATGATTAAAAATCGACTGATTTAATTTCCATTACATAAAAGGGTATTTTTCATTTTCATGCTAGGTTATTGTTAGACAAGACAGCCGTAAATGCTATCTTCTGCATGCTTTCGTGGTTGCGTTTTGGACGCACAACAAACACATTTTCAGGTTAGAAATTGGCAGAAGAGGGCGGCACTTTACTGGAAAACACTGTTCTCATTGGCTCTCATGCATCTACGGCTGTCTTGAAAAAAAACTGTGTCATTTTTTGTGCACTTACGGCTTTTACATACGTCTCGTTTTCATTAAATTAGGATGAATTTTGCTGTTTTAGCTGTCTCAGTAATTTCATCTAAAAGAGTTCAGACGAATTTTGAAGAAAACTCGATTTCGAAAATTTTGCACTTACGGCAGAACTGCTACCTTGCCTGAAACTACGTCATTTTTTGCGCACTTGCGGCTTTCTCATATGTCTCGTTTCCATGAAAATAAGATGAATTTTGCTATTTTAGCTATTTCTGTGATTTCATCTAAAATGGATTAGACGAATTTTGAAGGAGCCTTGATTTCGAAAATTTGACCCTTACTGCTCTGTACGCTATGACAGCAGTGAGGAGAGCGTAAGACAATTTTGTTTTTACATCTTAAAGGATTGGGGCCCACGTCACTAAAGCTAGATAAGCGGGGAGGGGGAGGTTCGAAAACTCCGAGTTCAGCGTTACGTATTTTCTGAACAATCCCTAATCGCACAGTGATCAAATACACACAATTTTGGCGTTAATAGTACCACTGAGACTATTTCATGGCCCAAAAAATGTGCAAGAGGAACTGTAGACACACATCCCTCTCGACGGCGATACCATATTAAATAAATTAGCAAAAGCGTATTAAATCGTAGATTATGACATTTTCTCTTTATTTTCTCATGGTGTAGTATTTTGATCGAATTTTTTGCTTCACAAAAAATCTATCAGACGGGTCCTCCATCAGATCAGCCCTCCGCCCCCATTACCAGACGTGATGCACTAATCTCTGAAATATCGAGGCATATCATATCGACGGCTAAAGTGTGACAGCACATATCTCCATCGCGGTGTCTCAAAATCTCCGCTTATAATTTATTTTTTCAAGGAGGAACAAGTCAGCTTCATAGCTTGATATCTATACAGAATATCCAAACAACAGAGAAAAAAATTAAAGAAGTTTTGTTAAAATTACGTTGACTATAAGTTTACAAGAAAAAAATAATGTATGACTGAGAGTCTAGAATCTCGCAAACAGATATATGCGGTCTCGCACTTTAGGCATCGATATGTAATCTCTGAGCAGGTGAACACAGAACAATAACAAATCTTAACTTAATTTATGTCTGGCAAACGACTAAAATATACAAAATTTGTGGTTGATCGCACAGCCAGTCTTTGGTTGATTTTTCTTAAACCATCGAGTTCAACGTGAGCTGCCTATTAGAAATTAGAATACACGTCAGCACATGACACAAGTTCGTGGATTTTCCTCTTTTTCGACAGTTTTTTTAAACAATAATTTGAGGCAACTCTTTTTTTCGAGAGCTTTTTCTGTTCATATTTTCTTCTTATGCTTAATTTAAACTTTTTGCCGGGACTGGATCGCACAATCATTCAAATATTTTTTTCTTGTTATTTTACTCCATATTATAGCTCAAGAGCTTGAGGAGGCAGCATATTTTCTGCGGCAGAAAGATTTTTAAGTATATTCCCCGACAACTAAAATGGCAGTTCAAATTTGGATTAAAATGCACGATTTGGCTATGCACAGACGATGCATCGCTTGGCTAACATAGGAGCGTAACTGCACATTGAAATGAGCCCGAAAAAGCTTTGAAATGTATGGAAGACAGGGTTCATTGTAGAGTGTTGTGTGCCCATATGTCAGGTAGGTGACGATATGCATCCCTTCAACAAATGACAGTGGCCGGCTGCTCATGTGTCAGTTTGTGCATTTAATTCCGCATTCAACCGGCCAGTTCGGCCTTTTAATTCCAGGCGAACAGCCACCAGCCCTCGATTGCTGAACGAGAGCTAGACACGGCCGAAATCTGGTCAGACGCCACCCTGGAAAACCTGGACGCCCGGTGTAGTGGGCAATTGAGTCAAATGATCCTTGTCGCGACCCTTTCTCCGTGGCCCGTGGCACCGATCCCGCAAACATTCCTCTTTCACTTTTAACTTTTCTTTTCTGTGTTTCCGTCGATCTTGATGAAATGACGGCCGCGAAGCAGTATGAAGTCCTGCCTCTCCTCTAATTGACGACGCGCTCGTGGACCATCCTCGATTTTATAGTATGTTCAATCTTTGGGCTCAATTTGGCGACTTGGTTGGTCAAGTCAAGGGGCCTGCGACAGAGCGACGGATTTTGCATCGCATGATTGAGAGATCAGAAATTCAGTTATCTAAGTTTAAAGAAATATTTTACTGATAATCATTTGCGACAGATCTTGGTTATTATAAAGACAGTTTATTTCATTTTAATAATTTTGTCAACTTCTCAGGGAGTGGAGGGGGCGCGGTGCGTGACTCATTTTATTAAATTACATCACGTGGAAGTATAGTGACTCTCATTCACATGTTGTGTAAAATCTCATGGTATTACCCGCTGAATCGATGACTGATGATAAGTAATTTTCGGGAAGATGGTTTCATGGAGAAAAATGATTATTAGCGGTGTCTGAGGAGTATCTTACAAGCAATTTTTGTATTTTTTGTTACCGCAAAGTATGTTTCTTGAGAATTTGCCATAGTCTGTCATATGAATCGAAGATTTGTTTTGGCTGTCG